TCCGGAAGAAGGCAAAGGAGGCGTTGGATTCCTTTTTTGTGGAATGGACCGGGAATATTGGAAAGATGATAAAAGAGATTTGTGAGGTTCTTAGGGAAGAGGAATTTGAAGGGACGGCAAAGAGGATATTGAGCTCAAAACACTCAACATTGAGTCTGAAGTTTTTTTATAAAAGACCATAAACCTGAGCTTCCTTTCCGCACAGTGATAAATCAGAACGAAACTTGGCAGAAGGTGGTGTCTCAATTCCTGCAACAAGGGCTTTAGAGTACCTTAAGCTTGAAGGTTCGCTCTCACTGAAAAACTCGAACGAATTAATTGACATCTTGGAGGTCCATCATGGCAGGAAGTGCTCGATATTTTCTATAAACATAAAATACTTCTATTATTCGTAGAAGAAGAATGAGGCGAGTAAAAGAGGCCCTGGAGCGTAATCTCGTAATATTCCAGTGAGGTTCGGGCATTTCGGTAGATTGTTTCCTGACGGTGTTGGATTTGTATCTTCGTTCAACGGTGGTTGAATACGATGGACAAATTTTTGTGCAGAAAGATGGAGTGTGCATAGGTTCGTCGGTGGCACCAGCTTTGGCGGAGATGTACCTGAACTCTCTTGATTCTGCCGTGGTAGAAGGACTACGAAAAATGCCATGGGGCAGCTGTATAGTCAGGAGATATGTCGACGACATTGTGGTATGCACCTTTCAGAGTGGAATTGGGGAGAAGCTTGTCATCAGCTCCTGAACTGAAGTTCACAGTAGAAAAACCAACGAATGATGTGTTACAGTTTTTGGACCTAAAACTTCATGTGGGTGAAACCCTGTGCTGGGAGTATGGAAAAGATGCCCCGAAACCAGTGCTCTGAAAAAAAAGTTGCCACTCTAAGACGGTAAAGGCGAGTGTCGTTAGATCGCTGTTCACCAATGCTCTGAACAGGTCTTGTGTTCATTTCATGGCTAAGGCAGTCAGAGGGCAGTGGCAACGGTCGGTTAACACAGGCTACGAGGGAGATTTCGTCGGGAGGCAAGTGACCTTAATAAACCGGGAAAGGGAAATGGCAGAGGACAAATCGAGAAACAGGATCGCAGTGATGCCGTATTTTCACACCGTGTCACACATAATAAAAGCGTGTGCAAAAAAAAAAATAATCGGACTTTAAGTTGGGCAACTTCCCGTTCGTGGAAGTTGAAATAAGAGGCAAAAGACAGGGCACAGCCCGTTCAAGATCACAAAAGTTAATAGCTATTGAAAAAAAAAAAAAAAAACAGTCAGAAACCACGGTAACCGAAACTTCAAAAAGTTCGTACAAATGCGAACCGTTACTACACAAGAGAAAAAAAAAAAAAAAACAAGAAAGAAAAGCAAATCTGCACCGTCAAGGGGAAAAAAAAATATATTTTGATAACTAAAAAACAACAAAAAAGCAGTGATGATAATGGAATTTTTTATGTCATTTTAGTTTATTTTCCAGAGACTGGAGGGACCCTCAGACAAAAAGCTACTAATAGCAACTTGAAAGGGGTCTGAGATACAGTTACAGAGGCAACAAATGTAACAACAAAAAGGTGCCTAGTTACACATTATATAAAAAAAAAACAAAAAAAAACAAGTAGTTCAGCACATGAAATGCTCGCGTGGATGAGAGTGCAAATATATGTTTATTATTATAAGCCCATTCATTGAGATCTGTCGGGAAGTTATAATGAAGGGATTGTAAATTATAATTTGTATCGCTTGAAGGGACCATCGATCATCTCTCCGGAGGACGAGCACTGATAGTACATTTATGCCTCGTTATTCCGGAAATACTCTACAAGAAATCTAAAAATGCTTCCGATGCAAAACGAATGGAATGAAGTAATTACTTGATATTTACAAAATAAAGGTACTGAAGAGTAAGTATACGGGTCGTTTGCAATATAACGCAAAATCTTTTTCTTTCTTTTTTTTTAAGCAAAAGAATTTTATGCAAGTTTGTTTTAACAATGGTTCCCCAAACCAGACGACAGTAATTTATGGGGGAGTTAAATAAGGCGCAATATATCTTCAGTTTAATACTGGTTGGTAAGAAATTGCGGCACCCGGTGATCACACCAACTGCCTGGGACAACGTTTTAATGAAATAATTAATATGAAAGTTCCATGACATATCCTTAGAAAGATATACCTTGTGTTTTATGTTAAGGGACAAATTCAATTTCCGTCGCTCCCAGTTTTAGGGGTACAAAATATAGTTATTAACTTATTTACTGGTCTGAATAAAATTGCTTTACACTTTATTGTGTTTATTTTTAATCCATTTACTTCTGACAAAACAATGAAAAAATAAGATTAAAACTATATTGGCCATCTTAATAAGGATATCAGCATCGTCTCCAGTAGAAAATAAGCTGGTATCCTCGGCATAAATTACAAATTGAGTTTGATCATCAATATTAACAATGTAATATAAGTAAACATTAAATAATAAAGGTCCAAGGATATTTCCTTGCGGAACAGCACATACAATGTTCGAAAACGAAGATCGGTGACCGTCAATATTCACACGCTGCTGGCGATTATACAGATATGATTCAACAACATAATTGGTCTGCCGCGAACGGCACATGTATTCTGTTTTGCAAACAAGGTTTCGTGATTAAGGCGGTCAATAGCTTTAATTAATGAAAACACCAAGTGTTGAAAAGTTTCTTTTCAGTACTTCGCATTATAATTTATTTTTGTTGTAATAAAGATGATTCTGTAGATATGCCTCTTTGGAAACCAAATTGAAAAATGGTTAGTACAGAACGCTTTAGAAAAAAAAAAAAAAAAAAAAAAGATTTTGAGACCGTTAAAACTAAGTTTTTCGAGTCCCTTGGAGAAAGTAGGAAGAACATATGAAGGTCTATAATTGTTAAACATGATTTTTTTTTTTATTTCTTTAAAAATAATGGATTGCTTGCTTCATAATTTCGGGACATTGACGACATGATAAGGATATGCACTAAGCACGGTGCAGTAATGTCTATAACGAACTTAATGTATCTGATTTGAAAATGCAAAGGTGCAAGCGAGCTGAACAAGAATGAGGAAAAGAATGCCCGGAGAAGGAAAACCCGGGGGACAAGCGACAAACCCAAATCTCCAAACAGAGCTAGCTGACTGGCGCGCGACCGAAAAAAGTCCTCCTGGTCCTGGTATCGAACTAGGGACCTCTCCATTTCGAGTGGAGCGCTCTACCAACTGAGCTAACCAGGAGTTAGACGTCAATAGAAAGAAATGAAGGAGCGAGGCGGGCTCCGTCAAATTTAAGGGCAAAATAAACAAACAAGAAAGGCGGGGAAAAAAAAAGTCGGCGAAAAAGTTTGGAAGATTGATTGAGATATATTTTCCGTTTATTTTTTTTTTCGATTTTTTGTCTCCGGTTTCTATTGTACGGGGGGCGTAAAGGAACTCCACTTGGAATAATCTAGGCCACGGAACAGCCTTCCTTTACCTCGCTGTGAACGCCAGCACACTAAAATGGCGTGAAGTGCAGCGATTGGGCCCGAGGCCGATCCCGAGCGTCTTTTGACGCTTTCATTGGACGCGAGACCCGGCCGAATGCTGACGCGGCACTCGTGATGCCCGATCCCCAACCGCGACTGCGATGACGTCAAAAAAAAGAAGACGTTTCCAAATCTGTGTAAGGCGAAATTAGAACTCAGTTCTCGAGGAGGAGCAGGGGAGGGTACGCCCTCCTCCTCCTCTCCTCCTCCAATTTAGTTTTCCCGCTAAATTTAGCGGGAAAAATGGCGTCATATGACTTGGTGTCACGTTACCTACGAACAAACTCAGTTTTTCCGCTGGCGGGGAATGGAATTGGCCTTGAGGTCACGTGACGTCAATTTTCCCGCTAAATTTAGCGCGGTTACGCGGACGCTGCGAAGCACGGAAACGAACTCCTAAAAGCTCTATTGGATTTTTTTTTTTTGTCACGATTTGATTTTTTTTTTATTACATTACTTTCTCAATTTCGTTTCTATATGTTGCGTTCTAATTTTATTGCAAAATAAGAAAAGGTTACGTGACTGACGATGTTCGAGGTATAAACAAAGCTCAGTGCATCGATTTCCTGCGAAGACCACCGCTTTTCTCTCCTGTTCATTCCGATATACATCTTCCTTGTGCGATGATTCTCTGATTTAAATGCAGAACATATGCGCATATTCAATGCACAAAATAATAAACAAACGGTAAAAAATTTTTTATTATTTTTGCGGGAAAGGTTTCGCTATAAGCCATCCTAGCAAAACCGGACCGATTTTAATCGCGATTTAAGTCGTCTTCATTTTTTTTTACCTACCCTGGCTGTAGTCCTCGCTCTACTTTTATGTCAGCCCATTTCGCGTGTGTTTTACCATATTTAATTCTGAAGTAGCCGGGACAGAGGAAGTACCACCTTCGTTATTTTCCGTTCGAACGAGGTAAAAGTTTGACACCACCGTTTCTTAAACAAATGATGAAACATAGAGACTCGTCAATGCGGTGTCGGTGTAGTACATAAAAGGTGATTTCATAAATATATATACAGAAACTACTGAAGCTACAGCCCTCTACACTGTTTATTTTTTTCATTAGAGTATTATTGGAATTATTTATTTTATTTCTTCGGGTAACGTCTGACGTGCTACAGGACGCTTTTTTTTATGTATTAAAAATAAATTCTGCTTGAGAAGGGCAAAATGACCGCACGCGCATCAGGCATCCCAGCGTACTTCAGTTGAGGTGAGCTTTTCTCCGCATGGGACAGTTATGCGGTGAGCTTTTCTCCGCCGCCCTTCAAGTACAATCTAATCGAATACTTTTAAACGAGAGTAATTTTATTTGTAGTTTATTACTTCTTTTGTGCAACGTTTACAAGACGCGGAGGAAAGGGCTTTCCGCGTTCCGTTCGTTGTCTCGGCCCGTAACACTCCCAGATTTGACCTTTGGTTCTCGGCGTAGCCGGCGGTAATGGTGTTGTTGCGTTCTCCGGCCAGGACGAGGGGCGGGGCTGTCCGCTGGACCGGGAGTCCCTGGGTCGCTGCAGCTGGTCCTTCCTGCACACGCTGGCCGCCCATTACCCCAAGCGGCCCACGGCTGAACAGCGCACCGACGTCGAGGCCTTCTTCAGGCTCTTCGCCAAGTTCTACCCGTGCAAAGACTGCGCCGACGACTTCCGCAACAGGTAGGTGCTCGGTTACGCGCTTTAAACGAGCTGTATAGTTGGTGCAGATTTGTGAAGGGTCAGCAGCGTGAACCTCGTCCCCAACCTTCTTGGACATCCCTCTCTTCGGCGCTTCTCCTCTAAATGCCCTAAAATGAGAATTTTTGACTGAACGGCGAACGTCGCGGTGTTCCCCGGGATTATTTTAGATGGCAGTCATAATGTGTCAACGAACCGTAATTAAACTCTCGAACGCGAATAGTTTTTTTTTTTTTTTTTACGCTTTTTCAAAGTTTTTGTGCATTGTACCTTGTAGACCGTAGTAACAAATTATCAATTTCTGCTTTTTCTGTACAAAAGATCGTAATGTTCCCGAGGACTCTAATTTCCTGGGTATCGTATAACGCATATCATTTAGAATTTTGATTTTTTTCTTGAAAACGTATTGATTCCCACGAAGTTGGCCATGTATAAAATCGAACGAAAGAAAGAAGGAGTGCAAGCAGCGTTGATGAACAGTTCACTAACTGAGCCAATCTATACTTCTTTTCACCTAGAAAAAAAAATAAAAGAAAACGTAATAAAAAAAAAAGTGTTTCGCGGAGCATTACTAATTTTTCTTTTTATGTAGAGAATTAGGATGTATGTAGGTGCGTTTTAGATTAGATGTACGTTATCCTATCAACACGCACACGATTCATACGCCAAGAAGCATCGCTTCTTCCTCCGAGCCCAGTGTTGCCAGATGGTCCCATCAAAAACCGCCAAACGACTAGGAGGTATAGCCCAAATATAGCCAAAGTCGTGAAAAAAATATAGCCGAAAATAGCCAACTAAAACAATGATTTGTAAGCCTTATATTGACAATTTTTCACACTCGTACATTACACGTTACTATCTCTTTCAACCCTCAGATGCACCACCTTTTGTGTACATTATGTTACTTGCGAATTTTTCAAAAAAAGCTTCGGAAGGATGAAAATCCGTACAAAACTGGCCCTTCCTTCGTAGGTTTTCCGAGGTAGAAAACACACAGACAGCTTTATGGTGAAGCCTGGGAGATATGATCATAAAGTAAAAGAACAAAATACAGAAGCAGAACAGTCGGAACACTTTTCAAACCAGAACCCCAATATCCAGGTCCTTACCAATACCCACCCGTCTGTTTTTCTTTCTGAAGAATTTTTGTGTCACCCATTCATGTTCACGCTATTTCTTATTGTGTTGTCCTTCCTTGGGGTGGGCAACAACTGCAAGGTAGTCAAGTGTTTAGCGCTGAAACGGAGGACTTGTCATTTTTACAAACTTGGGTGCCTAAGGATTCTGACAATGGGCACCAAAGCAGCATTTGGAGAGTTCAGTCAACGTCCGGGCAGAGCCATATATGCGTCCGGCTTGAAGGCGCGCTACCGGGCCTTTGGTAAAAGTGCCATCTCTTTGGTTTGCTCCGCTGCGCTGTAGGGAGACCGCTTGAACTCTGCGAGCATTGCTTCACTGCGCATTGTTAAAACCTCGAAGTCTGTAGAAGTTTGAAGCCTTTCTCCTTCCTCTCTCTCCTCTCGACTAGCCAAAAGAAAACACTTTTTTTTTTTTCAAAATTTAGTAAAAGTTTGAAAATGAACTAGCCGAACCTCAAAGTTCGGCGTCGAACCTGAGGTTCGACAAAAGTTCGCCGCATTCTTAGAAATAGCCCGAAATAGCCACATAGCCAACCACAAAATTTTGACGCCAACTAGAAAAAAATGTAGCCCAACTTGGCTATATATAGCCCAATCTGGTAACACTGCAGGCTCCGACAAACATCGTGAGAACTATTTCGCGCGGCGTAGGAAGAACAATGCGCAAACGCCGTTGCAGTCGGCGCGAACGCATAGAGAACACACACGGACGTCTTGTGAGCACGAGGGTTTGGGGGAGGGGGGGGGGGGGGGAGGGAGGAGAGGGGAATCCGCGGTCTCAAACACTCGGGATTCGAGGAATCCGGAGGCCACTTTGCGGGGTCTCTCAGCCTTGCAGACCGCCGGAATTCCTGATCCGAGGTTTTCGATGACGACGACGACGTACTTGGCAGGCGGCGAAGGCCGCGATCGCCGTGAGCCGATCGGCACCATACGTCACATTAAAACCCGAGACGGAGAAAAGAAAAGGTCCAACACACCGTCTAAAGCACAACTACTAATCTTTTTTTTACCGCGTTTTCAGTATAGTCACCTTCGTCCTACCGCCCTCTCACGCTACTCTATCTCGCTATACTCGTTTTCACCTCAAAACACGTAAAAAAAAAAAAAAAAATTAAAAAAACCTTTTTTTTTTTGCGTAGCGTTACTGATTTCTCCTTTTATGTGGAGAATTAATGATATATGTGGGTGCATTTGAGATTGCATCTATGTTATCTTATCGAGACGTACATGTTTCAGACGAAAAAAAAAAAAAAGTTTTATCCTTTGAGGACAACATCTTTTGTCAGAACTACTTTGCACGGCGGACGAACAATTCGCAAAACCTTTTCTTGAGGTAAAAACGAGTATATAGTTGCGCGCAGTGCTGTCGAAGTCAGAGGCGGAAGGGAGAGAGAGGGGAAAGCTGCTGTTGTACGAATTTCGAGTGACGGACTAATCTTGGAAGGCGACAAGAGCGACGCCTGGGACACAAAAAAAGGGGATCATTGTTTTATATGTTCTTCCCATTATTTATATTATTTTTACCAGTTTCCCCCTCTTCTCCAGCTGCTTGGGCTACGCTCTCGCCCCTGTATTTTTTGGTAACGGCGGTCACGTGCTTGGCCTCCGTCGCTCTGATTGGTTCATGGGGGCCGTAGCATTCGCTCCGTGCCAAGTTACGGAGAAACGAAACTAGTCTTAGTTTAGGGAAGGACCAGCCGCCGACAGATGCACACAGTACCTGGGTACACTTTGGGGCATTCACGTGCATTCACGTGTCTGCTAAATCTGCCCCCTGGTTAGGGGGAGATCTACCAGGGTCAGATTGATGGGTCAGGCTGGGGAGGGGGGCTCTGCAAAAAGATCTGACGTCACGGAAGGATGTCACGTCACTGGCGCAGCATTGCCTAGATCTATTTCGTTGTCCCGTCGCTTGTGTTCCAATTCGTAATCCTCGATTTTTTTTTTGTGTGTGTTATTTATGTGAAACTATTACCAAGTCGCCTAGTTCAACTCTCTGGTCAGTTTTGTCGACCTAATGTTTGCCATTTCAACAAAAACTAAACATGCCCGGCGTTTTCTTCGTGGTCCTCGATTTGCCTGAAAATTTGCTAAACACGTCAACAAACATCGCTGAAATAGTATTCGAGATATAAAGCCCCCCCCCCCCCCCCCAAAAAAAAAAAAAGAAAAAAAAAAATATATATATATATATATTTTTTTTTAGTTACTGAATTTACAATGTTCGACCTCATCGTGTTTTTCAAACTGAAAGTTTCTACTGGCAACAATGAAAACGTGACGCCAGAGGCAGGCAGGGGTTCGCTCTTTGGACCGTAGAATTCGTTCCCAACTGATTACAAGCGGTTTTATTTTGTCAAATGAAGGTTTTGGGAGCTCGCTCCAGCGCCCGCGCAGCAGCACGAAACAAATGCTCGGTATATTCCTTCTTTTTTTTTTTTGACTGCCTGCTCGACTCGCAAGCCTGCCATCCCCTGACGCCACAGCTCTAAAAAGAGCGGGTATATTTCAACGTTGGCCGTTCGATTCACGGGTTCCGGAAGCAACGACAAAAATCCCAACGCCTTCAGCGATTGCTCAAGTCGGTGGGAAGGCCTAGGAAGGCTCTAGTCTTTCGCTGCCTACGACGAGCGGCCTCGTTAAACCAATAGTATGTCCCCGCGACCCATTTTTTTTTCTCTTCTTTTTAAGGTGGGTTTATTTTGTATGAATAGTTTGACCCTCGAGGCTAGATCTTCCGGTTAAAATGTGAGTTTTTATGTCTTCCTCGTCGCCGTGTCATTTTCGGAGTGTTGTGCGGTGGTGGCTGATACTCTCGTCGCAGTGACACACTCCTCAATTCTATTTGCCGCTTTCTTTGATATAATGCTCAAATAAACACGCTAGGGATTACCCTCGCGTCGTGTGATACGCACACTTTATTCATCGTGTGTATTTCTAAAACCGCGCGAGCAAAGAGAAAAAAGAAAAAATAGAAACTGGCGATCCTAATGCCAAGTTCAACAACTGCTCGGCCATCCTCGCGATTGGTTTCTATTTTCTCTGCTCTGGCCTGTTTGCAAAAAACAACGAAAAAAAAAACTTGTTTTGGAAACCATGTCGTTTCACGAATCTATTTGTTTGGTCACTTGCCAAGCCTCCGAAGATGGCACGACGGCTTACTTGGTCGTGGTAGGTACGATAAGACGAAACTGGGTCACTTGAATCTGTTCCGTAGGTCGTGACGCCACTGTCGTTGCGCTCTTCGAGCTTAATTCTGACGAAGTACAACGAGATGATTCGTTCACACGCCACACGCAGCCCCAAACTTTCGTTCGAATTATCCAATAAAACGTGAATTGCAAACGGCTGCCACGACCCGCTCTGGGAAAAAGATACCTGCGCTCGTGGTGCGAAAGCAATGTTCGGCACACACCGCAACGTACAAGCGAATTCTCTAAAGGCCCGTTCAGACTCTTGCGACCTCTTAAACCTGGGTTCCTTCCAACTTCTTAAACCAGAAAACACACTGGCGCCATCTATTGGGAAGCAGTGTAAACTCGGCGGTCCGGCATATTTTTTTTTTTATTTCTCGCGCATTATCCTTTCTTTTTTGGCTCGAAAAACTTTTGTCAATGTTATAAACGAGCCTTTCTATGGGTATTACGCACATTCGACCTCGGAAATCCCGCAAAACCTTCGCTCTTGTGAAATGCAGTCCCAGGGTCACCGCATAGGTGGCGCCAGAATGCCAGTGTGTTCCCTCATTTTAAAAACATTTAACAAGTTTTAGGAGAACTCGTCTCTCTCAGTCGTACTCGGTCGCACTCGGTCGCACTCGGTCGCAAGAGTGTGAACGGG